ATAAAAAATAAAAATATCCCCAAATTATAAAAAACAAAAAGAGGAGTGGCATTGTTTCACAATTTTTTTTGCAAAGGTGTTTAATATTAGATTTAATGAAAATAATTGGATTCTTACATCTGTTTCTGTGTTCAATCTGCTGCATTATGTTCTGGTTGAAGTATATGAAGAAAGTCCAGCTTCACACAGATATGTGCTTGGAAGGGGTATAATATTTTAATAGCCTTTTCAGATAATTATGGATATTCTTCTTTGACACTACACCAAAAGTTGGCATGTGTTAGTTTTTTAAAGATTAGTTGCAATGTGGAATCTGAAATCATGTCAACGAACTCTTTGTACTCTATTAAGCTAAGGATTCACTGGTTTGTCTTCACTTTGAGTGACTCTTTTACACATGCATGATTTTGGAACATAATGCATTGGTAAACATATCTGAGTTGTATAGGTCTCTTTATATAATATTTAAAAATTATATTGGATATTATCACCATCAGTCCCATCAGAAACAGCTTTAAGTATTGGGAAGTTGTCAAGGTTACAATAGTGGATACATATTATCCAGAATTCTAATTTTGACTGATAAACTTGAATTTACCACTGTCAACAAATACTCTGAATAGTTTTTTTTTTTTTTATTAAACTGACAGACTTCTTCTGTTTACTTTCATGAAAATTCCTACCAGACCCAAATCTTACTTACTGTAGTTTGTGTGTTAATCATTCTTTGAAGTAAAAATGGTGTTCCATGAAAGAGACATCTTATTCAACTTGCAGTTCAACTAATTGCACATGCACTTTTCCCCAAGACAACTATTGAAATTTTGTGCAGCAGAAGTACTTTATGCATATATCCCATGTTTATCACAAATTTAATAAAATTGTTGCCAGGATGACATAGGCAAATAATGTCTTCATGTTATTATGAAAGTATTTTTGACTATACAGACTTTGTGAAATTGTGTTGCATGTCTCTGGGAGTCCACAGACCTTACTTTGATCTGCTGGTACACTATTAGCCCTTCTTTTATTCTTGTTAGGAATACAGTAACTGCTGGTAATGTTTTCACAGATTTCCCAAACTTTGATGCGCTTACACCAAGGGATTTTTCATTTGCCTCACTCTCTCCTGAATCTACAGCAAACTGGCATTCAGGATGAGACTCAGAACTGATGCTTCTCCCTCTGACCCTCCCCCCTCTCATGTGCTCTCTGTCTCTCTCATTCTCTCTCTCTCAAATAAATAAATAAAATCTTTAAAAAAAAAAAATCTAAAGTGCTGGAGTTCTTTGTAAAGTCCAAAGTGACATATAACTGTATATATTATTGTGTAAAATCCATCCAATCATCTTACTTTCATTTGATCTGTTTATCAATTAAATGCTGTAATACTTTATGAGGAGGAAGAGAGTGCATTTAATCACAAGTACATGGTGATTATTCACATTTTAATTTAGCTTTAAAAATCAAAAACCTTGGCACATTCTTGAAAGTAAATATTCTTTCTTCTTGAAATTTCTTCATTGCACCCTCCATCTCCAAGAACTCTTGCTTACCAAATTGACCCTTTTCTTTTATGAGGATGTTGTGAGAATTAATTTGATATTTATTTATTTAGAGAAGGGGAGAGAAGGGTTGGGGAGGGGCAGAGAGAATGGAGCCTCCTTAAGGAGCCTGATGCAGGCTGGATCTCACAACCCTGAGATCATGACCTGAGCTGAAAGCAAGAGTTGGACACTTAACTGAGCCACCCAGGCACCCTGAACTAATTTGATGTTTAAAAAATGTAAGAATCTATTTTTATTGCATGGCATGTTTTAAAATACATCATGTTGTGAGATAATTATGTTCTAATGAAAGTACAGTGACGCATTAAAAGTTCATTAGTCAACTGTAGTTGAAGGGAGGAAGAGAGGAAATTCCTAGGCATAGTGATGCCAAATGTCAGAACATTTAAAAGCTGCAATGGAAAAAACATTTTTCCTCTTCTGTATATTGGAAGTGGAAGTATTTTTTTTTAAAGTAAGTAGATGAAGGTTTACTAAAATGGAACCAGGAACAGGAATAGATGCTGAAAGGGAGAGTTTTCATTTGAAATAATGAGATGATGAAAGTTTTTAGATCATCCCAGAGGGACTCCCTCCTCCCCCCAACATTCTTGGTTCCCTTGGAATTGAGATTTATAGTTAAATGAATGTTATAAATCTAGAAAAAACAATAGCCAGATGAGTCTATCCTTGAACATGCCATGGGTCAATTTGGTAAGCAAGAGTTCTTGGAGATGGAGGGTGCAATGAAGAAATTTCAAGAAGAAAGAATATTTACTTTCAAGAATGTGCCAAGGTTTTTGATTTTTAAAGCTAAATTAAAATGTGAATAATCACCATGTACTTGTGATTAAATGCACTCTCTTCCTCCTCATAAAGTATTACAGCATTTAATTGATAAACAGATCAAATGAAAATAAGATGATTGGATGGATTTTACACAATAATATATACAGTTATATGTCACTTTGGACTTTACAAAGAACTCCAGCACTTTAGATTTTTTTTTTTTAAAGATTTTATTTATTTATTTGAGAGAGAGAGAATGAGAGAGACAGAGAGCACATGAGAGGGGGGAGGGTCAGAGGGAGAAGCAGACTCCCCGCCGAGCAGGGAGCCCGATGCGGGACTCGATCCAGGGACTCCAGGATCATGACCTGAGCCGAAGGCAGTCGCTCAACCAACTGAGCCACCCAGGCGCCCTCCAGCACTTTAGATTTTAAAAAGTTTTACATTTACTATTTCATTTTAATATTAAAAAGAGAAAAAAAAAACTCTGAAGTAGGTGAGAAAGGAATTCTCATTATGTGAGAATGAGTTTTACCCAAAGCCATAAGCCTTCTGAATCAAAGGGTTTGAATTTAAACGTAGGTCTCTGGACTAACAGTTCCCTCTACTTGGTGCTGCATAGTGTTGCTGCCATGCTTTTTTTTTTTTTTTTTAAGATTTTATTTATTTATTTATTTGAGAGAGAGAGAGAGAAAAAAACAGCATGAGAGGGGAGAGGGTCAGAGGGAGAAGCACTGAGCGGGGAGCCCGATGTGGGACTCGATTGCAGGACTCCGGGATCATGACCTGAGCCGAAGGCAGTCACTCAACCAACTGAGCCCCCCAGGCGCCCCGCCATGATACTTTTAATTGATGGGATTACGTAGTTACGGTGTTCACTATGTATTCTGGCCCAGAGATTATCCAAACCAAATGAATACTTATTGGGCCAGAGTACAGCCTCATCTTTGGGGAAGGACATCTGTAGAGCAGGATTCTCTCCCAGGTCTGTTGAGAAAGTTTGAGAAAAGCTCAATTTGAATCAGGCTATCCTAGGTCAAGTCTTGCCACGGCTTGCCCACACCCTCCTGCTCTCTGGCTCTCTTGTTAGGAATTGCCCTCCTTTGCTTCTTTTTTGTTGTTAGGCTTTTAGGAATTAAATAGTATTTACTCTATCCCTAAAAATATTTTGAGAACTCCTCACATTAACTTATGACCAACCAAAGGGATAGGAGCGTCATCTATCTTGTGTGTTTCAACCTTTTATAATAAAGCAAGTGATATGATAAATATCAGGAAGAGGCAATAGCTATTCAAACCCAAAATATTTCTTTTTGTTTAGATCCCATTTTTAGTATGTATGTGGGAGATATTAGCCTATGAGTTAAGGACTCAATGGTATTTCAAATTCCTGGTCAAATTTTCTACTCCCATCTTTAATTTGTCAAATCTAAGTCTTCATAGGAAGTCTTCTATTCTGTATTGTAGGGAGACTGAGATGGAAGTAGTGTATGTTTAGTGGCAGATTACTTCACTGCAAACATAGGCTAAGGTTCTTACCTTTTGTTTTCAGACACTGCCTGGTTAAGTACTAAGCATTTTCCATTGTTAATAATAGTAATGATAATAATAATAATACCGCCACCACCACCAACATGGAAGCAGGAACATTCCCTTTCATCTCAGTTGGCATTTGATGTCTTTTGAGTTCTTTTCAGCCTCATTTAGCTCTTCTTATTTTTTCATCTCAGCAAATCTATTTTGACTTTTGTAAAACAGGTAAGTCAACAAGGCAAGGGGCTGGAGCACACTGGTTCACAGAAGCACCTGTGCCTTGGGACTTGAGGACATTGCTCCACAGTATCTATTTGTTAGACTATGACAGCTAGTGGTGAGGAGTTTTAGAATGTGTCACAGCTGTAGATGTTAAGTACTAGATGTAGCTGTGATTGCTGTCACTTGTTCTCATATACTCTCCTCTGTTATAGGCATTAGGAATTTTTTCTCTTAACCTGTTATATCTTTCTGTATTTTTCTGGCCTTCTATAAAATTTTGTAAAGTGGTATTTTTGTGGAGTAGATCTCTGCCTCTTTCATGTTAACAGTTATACATGTTTAAGAGATTTGACCCTCTGGGAGTATTATTTTGAGCAAATAAGATTTGAATAGGAATTGTTTTTCATATTCATGTAATGGCAGTGTATTGCTTGGCACGTGATAGGTGCTCTGTAAATGTTATTTGTCATGAATTCTTGAACTCAAAAGTTAATTAAATGAAGTTCATTTAATACATTTTTATTAAGCCATATACAATGTTAGGTGAGGAAACTAAAAATAGTGGTAAGGCAGTTACTGGACCAGTGAATTCCTATGCTAGCTGGAAGGTAATTTCACAGAAGTAGTGAAATTGAAGGAGGGAGCAGTTTAGTTATTATTGGCAGGGATGGGGAGGGTATCAAAAGGGGGCTCATTGTCTGGCCATCAGATCTGACCTATCCCTTGAAGATGAGGAGGATGAAAAGGACATTCTTTTTGTTCTGTTTCTCAGAATGTATTTGAAGAATAAAATAGGTTTCCTGTCTGACATTAATATCAATGATACTTTGGAATGTTTGCTTCTTTTATAACAGGATTGTTTTTCCCTGGGTCCCATGCTCACTGTGTTTTCATGCCTTGTTTTGCAAGAATTGCCTGAGGTTCCGTCAATTGAGGAGGAAGTGGAAGAAACAGAGTCTTGGGCGAAGCCTTTGGTCCACCTTTGGCAGACGAAGTCCCCAAACTTTGTGGCTGAACAGGAGTATAATGCAGCCATGGCCAAAATGGAGCCACACTGTGCCATCTGTGCTCTCCTAATGCCCTACTACAAGGTAATAAGGGTGGAGGGGTCACTGTCAAGGTTTCATTTCACTGCTTCACTTTCTGTATGACTGTAAAAACACAGATGAATCATTGTAAGGTAAGTATGCGCACGGAAAGGGAGACATCAATACTTACATGGCCATTGTAAAAGAGCAAACAGAATTTCTGAGTGCTACTTGAAAGACATTTCTCTGGTAGTGCTTTATCATTTTAAAATAAATGGTTTATTTGTCATTGTTCATTTCAGTCAAGGGGCAGTTCCAGTCTTTTTAATCAAGAAACACAGAACTGAAAGCTTAACAATATGTTGTATAAGTTTTGCAAAGAAAGAACTTAAACTTAGTCTCTGTTTTGTGTTTGAAAATATCACTCTCAATAATATGTCAGCTCTGGTCCCACATTTAAAATGTCTCTGTCTTCCCACATGGAACATGCATAAAATACAGCAGGACTCAATACAAGCTGGATTGTTCAGTTCACCCTCATCAACTAGCTGTGCATAGTACTGTTTTCAGTGTTATTCCATATGTCATACTGATGGCATTTTGGCTCACTGAGGGCCACATTCTCTAACACTAACCCAGACAAAGTGATCTTCAGGAATCTAGTAAGGGTGGAATTTCGTGACCTATTTTAAGATACAATATATAATAAAGTGTATTGATGTGAGCACTGTGTTCTGAGTTATATTATCAATAATGGAATCAGAAGTATTTTAAGATTGCTTCTCTTTTAGAGTTCATATAAACACTTTTTTGTTCAGACATTTCAGGGCATGAAATTGTGTGATTTGCCACTTTTTCAGATCTTTGAAAATATAGAAAGTAAACTTAACTCACTTGTCTTCGATGTGGCCCTTGTGAGTGACAAACTATTTTCCATTTAGTCATTGAATGTCTGTTTTCTTGGAAAAAGTTAACTTTTTATTGACTCTTATTTCTATATCATAATCTGCCTTTGTATTTCCCCAATAATTAAAAAAATTCTCACTAAAATTATATAGGGAAACTTATTAATATAAGATCTCTGGAGATAAGATAGTTCATTAATTAGAATTTCAGTTAAGTGCTAAATGTTTTTCATATATTTTGGTGAGAGATGACAGTTTTGTTTTGCACACTGTATTTTCTTATTTAGTGACATTTGCCAGGTCATTCTGTCTTGATGTTTTAAAAACTTTGTGGTGAGGCACAACCTTCAAAAATTCTCTAAAAACTGTTGCACAGATTAAAACTGAGGTCTTTGAAAACATTCCTTCAAGTGTAACCAGGTAAAATTCTTCAGTATATGAAACCAGGTCTGCTAACCTAGTGAAAATAAAGAAAGAAATAAAAATTCCTCAGAAAAATTGATGCTTTCCCTGAACTGTTTATGTAAGAATATAGTTTTAGTAGGTTATCACTTTTTCGTACAAGCAGATGCACAGAATGTCCTCCTGTTTCTACAGCTTAGCTTCTGGATGGGAGCCTGAAGAGGAACATTGATAAAAAGCTAATAGTTGTATCAAGGAAAACAACAGGAAGAACAGAAGCTGGAAGTTAGTGCGTGGAACAGCTATTAGTGGATTTGAGTGACCAGAACAAATGATGAACTTTTTTGCATGTTTTTCACTCATGTGGGAATATTATGTTTTTCAGCCAGATAGCAGCAATGAAGAAAATGATTCTAGATGGGAGACAAAATTAGACGAAGTGGTTACTCCAGGAGGAAAGACTAAGCCCCTCATTCCAGAGATGTGTTTTATTTATAGTGAAGAAAATATAGAATATTCTCCGCCTAATGCCTTTCTGGAAGAGGATGGAACAAGTCTTCTGATTTCCTGTGCAAAGTGCTGCGTACGGGTTCATGCAAGTAAATGAATCTCTCATTCATCAATCACTGGCTTTTCAGTGCTTCACATAATCTTTGTTTCTCACCGTTTTGTCCCCTACCAAATCTATTGCATTGAACTATTGGCATTCTTAATGGTTAGATCATTCTTTCTCACATTTCTTCTGATAAAAGTATGAGTAAGTATAATAATCCCTTTTTCTACAGTTTTGTGCAGTATCAGTGGAGAACAGTTTTGTTCTGTTTGTTGTCCAGATGTGGGGTCATTGTGGGGCTCCTTTCACATATTTGAATTTTACTTAAGAGATAGTTTGTAAAAACTTAATTTTAACCTCTGATGTTGATTCATGATTATTTTTCTTTGTACTTTTTAAAGAGACATGAATATTTCTTTGGTGATTTGGGGAATTATTGTTAAATTTAATTATAGAGTTTAATTTTTATTCTTTGTGAGGGTAAGGAGATCTCTGTTGCCTTCCAGGGGAGAACAGTCATTACAGTTGTTTTCCCCGCAGGACTGAGATGGTTAGGTTCCATACCTGTCACAATTTGGTATTTTCACATCATGGGATAAATGGCAAATACATTTTTTTTTTTATTTGCCTGCCATGTAAGTCCTCTAAAATGTGAAAAGGGATCTAATTTTTATTGCAAGTCTATTTTAAGGCATTTTAATATTCCAGATCTTACCAAATCATATGTCATGTTAACATACTTATGTATGGTCTCTGTCAGTGTAGCATGAATAGTTATAATATAGGCATTACCTTCTGTATTTACCCCAGAGAAACACTAGACTTACGTTAGGGTTGAAATAGCCTCGCTGTCTATCATTTATTGATTGATTAGATACTGTCAGCTTCCCAAGAGATTTGAACATAATGTGTTTGAAATATAGCAACCTTCTTGTTGTACTTATATCAATCTGTAACACACACGCACATATATATATATACACATTCACCCTACATTATTTAAAGTATATAACAGCCAATGCATCATTTCACAAAAAAAACTAGGATTTAATTTTGATTCCCGAATGTACAAGCTATACAATTTAGCCATAGTATTTCATAAACATATGCTTGAACTAAACATTTTATAGTCTTAGTTAACTATGATAGGCTTTTCTTTGGTAATTACATCTCTGTTATTTTCTCTTTCATTTAAATGTAATAGAAATTTGATATTAAAAATTACTTCTTTAAATCTTTCAAAGCCCTTTGAAAGGCAGTCAGAGTAACACATGTTTGTTGGTACTGTATAATTGCTGCTTATATTTGCATCATCAGCTATTTCCTTACACAGTTATTTTGAGTCAGGCATGTATTGAATAGACAAATAGAACTGAAGATACCCCTTCATTACTAACCATGAATTGTGCATCCTCTGTCCCTATCATTGAAATTAAAGCTAATTAAACAATTTCTGAAATGTAATTTTAAATTATATTAATTTACAAAATATGTCAAAGTTTATTTATTGTATTATTTTAAAGCTTCCCCAAATTTTCCTTCATGAATTGCAACTAACTTTGAAATATGTTTTGTATGAGTAAAGAACTAGACCCAACAAATTAGAAATTTAATTATTGCCCATTCAAGAATTATCTGATAACTATTGTGAGCATTAGTAATGATTAAGACCCATACTCTCATGTTTCCTGGGGCTGATATCCTTTTAGCCATAAGGCATGAGAGCCAAAAGTATCTTTGAGACAGCCTTGCTTATGTTTTGTTCTAAGCAGTGACAACTGGTGGGCAGTTGTTCTGATTTTAGTTATTCAGTGCTAAGATGTATAATACCAAAATGCAAAAGACCTAATTCATGAATCCATACTATTATTTTATAGGTTGCTATGGTATCCCTTCTCACGAGATATGTGATGGATGGCTATGTGCCCGCTGCAAAAGAAATGCATGGACAGCAGTAAGTGGCCTATTTTAATATCTTTTAACCCCTCTTCTCACTTTCTCCACTGTGAACACATTTAAATCTAGCAATAAGGTAAGGTTGTACACATGCTTTTGTGTGCACTTCTACACTTACTATATTTCTAGTCTTCTCTTTTCAAATCATCCTGTCTGGTGGCTCTATTCATCACAGAAATATTAAATAAATTTCTAGGTGTTACTGTTCTACTCAGGAGCCTACAGAGAATGCCAATTTATTAGAACAAGTCTAAAATATTCCTTCTTTTTCCTGCCCAGGTCTATTTTATAGTTCTTGAAAATAAATATTCTAAGTAACACTCAAGATGAGGATCCTCCCTGACCCCTGACGAAACCATGCTCATACATAACTTTTCCACTGGTATGAGTCTTTCCCCACTTATTCATTCATACATTCACACTTCAACAAACTTTGGAGTCTGCTCTTTGCCAGGTGAGACAGACTGCTCTGTCTCAGTCTGTGAACTTGAGACAGAATCTTTCAACAACAAATGATACCCCACTTAAGGTACAAAGATTCCTCCTCATCTAAATTGTTTTTCCTGATGAACCCTGTTGAAACTTCAGCTTACATCCAAGCATTAAGTTCTATTCCACTAACCCATCATGTCACCTATTTTTCCATTTAATTATGTGCTACCTTGTTACTTCTTAAAAATTCTCTTTCAAGAAGCATCAGAACATTTTTGAAAATTAGGACCTGTTAGATCTTAACATTGTATCCCTCACTCTTAATCTCAGAGCAGATGATTTCAATTGTAATAGTAGCATTTGCTTTATTTCTCAATGATCTCTAATGAGTTAAATTTCTTTGCAACCAGATTAAAATCCTGAAGGACGATATAAGGAAAATGCCTTGCATGATAAAAATTTATGGCATGATATGTATGTTTAGCTCTCAGTGTTGAAAGAGACGTATGGTGACTATAAATTAAAGATGTCTGAGAATGTCTTTCTGAATGATTTTATTGCTGGCATTCACTTTAGGTAGTGAGGGAAAAATGAGGGAAAGTATGGACATTCTTTATAGCCCAAATAATCTGATCTGTTTTGTGTTAGAGGTAATATCTCCAATTTAAGAAGTCTTTCATTAGTGGGCCCAGAAAACATTTTTGTATTTCCTTTGATGTGATCATTATATTAACAAAAATTATGTAAATACAGAGTATCTTAAAATCAGCCAGGAAGTCGTGCTGTAATAAAGTATATTCAGTTCTTGTTTGCCATGTAGGTCTTATATTTATTATATGAGCCAAATTAAAGCTTTGTAGAATCAGTCTGGCCTGTGATCCTCTCATTCACCCTGAAGTATAGGTTTAGAGATTAGAGATATTCTAATCCAGTTCACCAAGGTTTGAAGAATTCTCTGTTCCATCCACAGTTACTGCTTGACTCCTTTGCTCACACACTGAACAGTCCTGTTTCCCAAGGTACCATTGTCCTTTGCATGGCAGAGCTAGGGCCAGGCCTACGTTACCCACCCTGATTCTGAGGCTGTTTGTGATAGTTTATGCTGTTTTCCTTTAGCATGTCTTAAGAAGGAAGTACTAGATTAATGACTCTTTAGAACTAATTTAAAGCTCCTATTAATCTTAATCCCTCACACCCTTAGAAAATACAATGTCTTTTGTGTTTTATTATTGATACCATGCAATAAAAATGGAAACTCTCGAATACAATTTTACAATGATTTTTTTAGACCCACCTAATATCTTATTTCTAAGTGGAAATGATCTGAATTCACAGTGCACCAGTTGTTTTTTCAATTTATCCATTTGTGTGAACTTTGTCTATGAAGCTTGATTCCTATTTTTTTCTCCTGAGAAATCAGTGAATTGCAGTTTAAGCATTGCAGAGGAGTAAGTGATAATATCAGTATTTTGGCTTTAAATCCCTTATTTAGTGTGGTTGTGAGTGTTACAATATTAATTTTTAGTAGACAAGTATGATTCTTTGGATTTTGTGGCTGGAATGATTGCATTTTAAAAGTATCCTTAGACTTGACATCTTTAGGAATCAATCTCACATTGTCAGTTTTAGGTTCCAGAAAAGCCTTGGGACTGCTTTTAATGGAGGTTCCACAGGAGGTAATGGAAATCTAACAGTGCAAGGGAGGTCAGATGACATTTGATTGCTGGTTTGTATGTCACTAACTCTAATTCCTAATTATTTCCTGGGATTTTCTTTTTAAATGTACTTTGTAAATGTAAGATTTATTATTCATCATGAATGCAAAACATTCCAATAACATATTTTGCTTGGGATATATATTTATACAACAGATGTGATTGTTCTAGCTAATTCTGTTTCCTTTTATGATGAGTACTTGGCACACCTGGAGAGTAAGAAGAGGGTAGCCTGAAATACCTTATATTTATCTTTATAAGGTATATGTGAGACTTGAATGTGGTTGTTCTGTTTTTTAAAGATTCATTTTAAAGAGTTCTCATTGTTGGATGAATGGGTAAAGAAAATGAGGGGTATATATAGAGATACACACTGAAATTTCATATTCAGCTATAAAAAGGAAATCCTGCCATTTGCAACAACATAAATGGCCTTGAGAGCACTATGCTGAGTGAAATAAGTCAGACAGAGAAAGGCAAATACTGTATACTCTCTTTAAATGTGGAATCTTAAAAGAACACGCTGAACTCATAGGAACAGAAAGTTAATTGGTGACCTTGGGTGGGGGGGCATGGGAGAAATAGATAAAGGTGGTTAAGGGTACAGACTTCCAGTTTTAAAATGAATACATTTTGGGAATCTAATATACAGCATAGTAACAACTGTAGTTAGAAATACTCTATTGTATAGTACTGTACTTGAAAGTTGCTAAGATTGGGGTGCCTGGGTGGCTCAGTCGGTTAAGCGGCTGCCTTCGGCTCAGGTCATGATCCCAGGGTCCTGGGATGGAGCCCTGCGTTGGGCTCCTTCCTCGGCGGGGAACCTGCTTCTCTGCCTGCCGCTCCCCCGCTTGTGCTCGCTCTCTCTCTATCTCTGTCAAATAAATAAATAAAAATCTTAAAAAAAAGAAAAGTTGCTAAGTTCTTTAAAGTTTTCACCAGAAAAAATAAATAAGTAAAAGAAACTATGTGAGGTGATGGATGTGTTACCTAATCTTATTTCGGTAATCATTTCTAAATATATATACATAAATCAAATCATCATGTTATACATTTTATGTTATACATTTTAAACTTACAGTGTTATATGTCAGTTATATTTCAGTAAGGTGGGTGGGGAGGAGACTATAATAGTAACTGTATCATGGAGGTAAGCATCAATAATTTATTTTTGTTTATTTTTAAATATTTTAACCTATTTATTTGACAGAGAGAGACACAGCGAGAGAAGGAACACAGGCAGGGGGAGTGAGAGAGGGAGAAGTAGGCTTCCCTCGGAGAGGGAGCCCGATGTGGGGCTCGATCCCAGGACCCTGGGACCATGACCTGAGCCGAAGGCAGACGCTTAACGACTGAGCCACCCAGGCACCCCAGGCATCAATAATTTAAATTTTGGAAGCAAAGGCATTGTAGGGATTATTTCATCTAACGTTAGAAGGTAGTTGGTTTTCTTACTGTCAACCTGGGCGAGGTAACTGAGGATATATGCAAGGCTGGAATCAATGCTCAGTGGTCAGCTGTCTTTTTATTTACCATTTCTAACGAGGGACGTCACTCTGGCCCCAACTGTTGTGATAGTTTTTAAGTAACCGGAGGCCAGAACTTTGTCTCATTGACCTCTGTAGCACCCCTAATGCCTGGTGCAGTGTTGGATCATTTCTGAACGGATGAAACATAAAGTAAGAAGGTTGTGATCGCAGAGATATGGGCCAGACCTTTATTTGTGGCCTTCAGTGCTCTCACTGTTTCCAGAGTCTCGCTTCAATGCTCACTGTGTTTCATTTTGCTACTGTCTTTACTTTATCCATTTGCGTCAGTTAAAACAAGGAAGAAGATGCCTTACTGCCAGCTTCACCTGAATGTGTTGGGGAAAGAGATTAGTTACAAATTTTGGATTGTACCCTAATTTAGATTCTAGGATCCTGGCTCTATATCCAAATTCAAATGAAATGAAATGAAATAAAGAACCCCCCAAATACCTGTCTATCCTGAGATTCAGGTTGTACATCCCATCATTCTAACTAAATGTTACTGCTTTGTGCCTATTTTCCTATTTCAGTACCGCTCAGGTAAATAGATACAACTACCTGAAAGCTATGTTTCAGCTTATGGCTTATAACCCAACTGTATTGGATTATTTTATTTTCAGCTGTTTGTTTTTGACCTTTTGGGGACTATTTATAAAATTGATTTGAAGCAGTTTTTACTCTGTTACAGTATGACTTGAGAGCACATGCCAAACATTACCAAGTTCTCTTTTTAGGGATATACTGTCAGTACTCTGATTCTAGCATGTGTTTCTTACTATTTTGATTTTTAATGTGAGTCTAATCACTTTTGATCTAAATTGCTGAAGTTTTCTCTAATCTGTGATTTCCACTGTTTAATGGCTGCAAGTTACTACTAATTAAAAATGCTAGTATTCTTACTGTAAAAATGCAGAATTTGTATTGATTTCTTTGAGATTTTTTCCCACCATTTTCTTTTTTATCCCTGCACTTAAAAAAAAATTTCCAGTATGGGTATTTCTGTGAAATACCTGAATACTCCTTTAGGGATACACTTCTGATTATGAAGAAAGATGTTAGTTAGATGTCTTGAATGGGCTGGTAAACTAAATACTTACTACTATTCTAAAAAGTAATCCATGTGTTTAATATTATGTAGAGTAAAAATAGGATTTTCTATATTATCTTTTGAAGAATTTATAATACAGAATTCCAAAGGGTAAATAAATATAAGCAGGTTGAAGAGGTTAAAAAGGAATATGGATAAGATTTTCTCTTCTTAAAATTTAAGGATAATGTAGCTGTCTGGTGATTTTTTTTCTGTCTAGGTAATTTGGATATTT